GCAAAAAGAAAAAAGCCGGAAGTGGCGCTGTGGCTCAAGTGGTAGAGCGCTAGCCTTGAGCTGAAGAGCTGAGGGACAGTGCCCAGGCCCAGAGTTCGGGCCCCATGACCGGACCAAAAAAAAAAAAAAAACTATTCTTCCAATACACTTCAAGCTACAGGAAATAAAAAGGGCAGTATTGGAAATTACCTTTCAGTATGAGCACACATTTAGGAAAAGAAATAAACAAAAAACAGGCACTGTCTTAAACATATTCACTAAATTTATGGCTGTGGTATTAGAATTTCTATATTCTCTTCAAATTTTCTACAAGATGGTTATTTCATAAAACTTTAAATAAATTCAGAAGATTTCTTGTTTGCTTATTATTTTTATAAATTTACCATATAGTGTTTTCTGGAATCTCTTCACACTGACCATGTCTTTTGTTAACTGAAATGTTTTTCCTTCAGTTTCAACAGTGAATTCCCTATAAAACACACATTACATATTAGTTAAAACATGTCCCAGTGCCTGAAAGTTTTACAGATTAATAAACTGCTTTTCATTTTGTGTATAGCACAGCTCAGTCAATTCTTTATTTCATAAGAAACACCAAATTAAGCATGACCCTATGAATGGCATACAGTAACATTCTAGAGAAGTAGTCACAAATTTGACTAGTTCTATAAAACTGCACATATGACTTAATAAAGTCTGTTGGTAAAATGCCCTTCTCAATACTGTCCAAACAAATGGACAGCAAGCCAGCTTGTCAACTTACAAAAATAGTCCCAAAGCTCCCACAAAATTTCCAAAATAAATGGACGTGGTGATAAAGATAGCTGAAAAGAAGTTTAATGATTGAGATCGATGTAAATTATCTCCCCCACACTGCTGGCTGTCATATGTTCATTTCCTCAGAGACATCCATTTGGTTTTAGACTGCAAGAAATCACCATTACAAACCACTTCATGTAACAGTGACATTTCAGCTTGTTTCCTCATATAATGAAGATCTGCTTGGATTTCTCAGGCCTTCCAGCAGCTCAGAACTAAGAAAGAGCGACCCCGTGTGGTACTAGCTCTTCCCACAACTGCACTTTGCTGGTTGACTTAGTAGGCCCTGCTTCACAGCTCCTCCTGGAGTCTGTGCAGGCATTTGAGGTGTCCCTGCCCACAGAACCAGGTGTTAAGTAAGTATCCTGTGAACACAGTGCAGCTCAGGTAACAGCAACAAAACAGCTTCAGTCAGGAAGCAGATGGCTGGCTAACTGACTTGTTTGTAGATAACAATGAAGAGATGTGATTTTGTGCTGCTGTCCATTACATAATGAACATTCTGGAAGACTACAGCAGTAGTAGTTTTCCTGCTGAGATGGTAAGTGCCTTCAGTTTGAAAAAGTTGATCTTACTATACTGCTCATGCAAGCAACATGCACAGCCCAGAGGTTCCCCTGGGTCCTTACTTTTCTGACTCTAGCCCAGTCAACCACTTCCTGGCTATCCTTCACTGTGAGCCAGACTGCCTTAAAGATATAAGCTCTTGTTTGAGGCCTCTTTTATTAGCCTAACTTTGGTGAAAAGATCAACAAACTTTCTCTGTAAAAGCCCAGATATGACATATTTCAGGGTTTGCAGACCCTATTTCTTCAGTCTTTGTGTTTGTTTTGTGTATCTGTTCTTTTAGTAAACAACTCCATGAAAATAAAAACCATTCTTAGTGAGAGGAGTGCATTAAAAAGGAAGAAATTTAAAGTATAAAGAATGTATATTCTGGTTATTAGAATGTGTTTTATAAAGGGCAATTACACTGAGTATTAGTCTGATACCTTCTAAATTCCTGTTAACTTCTTGTTACTGAGAGAGGTGCAGAAATCTCCACTAATTGTGAAATCTGTCTATTTTTTCCATCTATTTTATCTACTTTGCCTCATATATTTTGAGGTTCTATTGAGGCTATTATTTTCATGAAGAATTTTTACCTTTTCAATTTTAAACCTATGTATAATCATTGTAGTAAGTTTCCTACAGACAACATTTAATTCAGTCTTGAACAGTGTGTGTGTCCCTTTTTCTAGTGAGCAGAATATACCAAGATTCCTATGCTGGCTGTAATCCAGGAACACGTGTGTGTGTGTGAATATACCAAGATTCCTATGCTGGCTGTAATCCAGGAACACGTGTGTGTGTGTGTGTGTGTGTGTGTGTGAATATACCAAGATTCCTATGCTGGCTGTAATCCAGGAACGTACGCGCGCGCGCGCGCGTGCGTGCGTGCGTGCGTGCGTGTGTGTGTGTGTGTGTGTGTGTTTAGGTACTATCCCTAAGGCATTTTTCTCAAGGATAGTGCTCTACCACTTGAACCTCAGCTCCACTTCTGGCTTTTTGTTGGTTAACTGGAAATAAGAGTCTCAAGGACTTTCCTGCCTGGGCTGGTTTTGAATCATGATCCTCGGATCTCAGCCTCTTGAGTAGCTAGGATTACAGGCATGAGACACCAGCACCGGACAGGCTTGAACTTTTTAATCAGACTGTTTTATTAATGTAACTACTGCTATTTGGGGTTTAAACTGACCACCTGACCACCTTGATAGTTAATTCATTCCTACTTGTCCAATTTCTTTGTTCCTTTTCTTGTCTTCTGGAAGTATATCTTACCTCAAATTTTATTAGGTTATGCCCCTTTGGTCTGCATATGTCCCTCCCCCCGCACTCACAGGTAAGATATTCTAGAGTTTACTATGTGCATTTTTTAAATTCAGCATAGACTCATTCCAAATAATTGTAACACTTCACATATACTATTTGGTAATACTGATATGAAATTGAATATACAATATATATATAGCAACAACATATTCCCAATTCTTCCCACCATTTGTGCTATTAATGACTTATTTTACTCCATAAAAATTACACGTTTTATTAATTTTGTTTTGTCAGAAACTATAAGCCACTGCCAGACCACTTGCCAATAGTTCATGCCTGTAATCCTAGCTACTCAGGAGGGTGAAATCTGGGGATCATGGTTTGAAGCCATCCTGGGCAAAAAATCTATAAGACTCATATCCAATTAACCAGAAAAAGTCAGAAGTGGAGCTGTGGCTCAAGTAGCAGAATACTAGTTATGAGAACAACAGCTCAGGAACAGTCCCCAGGCACGCGCGCACACACCCACACACCCACCCACACCAAACCATATGGTAGGGGAATGGAAGCTTTGTTGTTTTTTAAAAAAAATATGAATTCTATACTAGGAAAAAATATTTTAAAAATTAAGAGAAAATTCTTAAGTTCTACAGAGTATAGAAATATAAATATGCCCCAAGAACTTAGGAGCTTTAGAAATAAATTTGTGGTAAACATTTTCTCTCCCTCCTTTCCTTTTGTGGTGCTTAAAATCAGGCTTTTGTGCATCAAGAAAAGACCTTTGCATTCCATTTCAAAGCTATTTCCAGGTTGACACAAAGATCCCAGCGAAGACAGTTTACATGTAGCCAAGAGATATCTGTTACATGCAACAACAACAACAAAAAACTACTAAAGATACACAAGAGGATAGCAGTTTGGAGCCAGCCCAGGCAATTAACCACCAAACCAGAAGTGGAGCTGTGGCTCAAAGTGGTAGAGTGCTAGCCTTGAGCAAAAAGAGCTCAGGGACAGTACCCAGGCCCTGAGTTCAAGCCCTACAACCAACAAAAAACAAAAAAAAATAAAAAGCTAAAGAAGCTAATCTCACCCTACCTTTCAGAACCTGGCAAAGTATATTCCTGCTAAAGCCCATGTAAAAATAAACACCTTCCAACTCACCCTTTCTCATTCAGCAGCATCTCCATTTCTGTAATGTAACATTCATCACAGGCAGCAAGGTACTCCATCACCAGCTTTGCATCCTTCTTATATGCCTTACCAACTGCTCCCTTACTGGGTTCAAACTGAACAACATTCACTGTTTTGTATGCAACAGTCAAGGAGTCACAAAACACAGCACCACCTTAGTATTGTAGAAAATAATCTTGAAATCAGTCCACTTAAAACCAGTTCTTAAAACTCTATTCTGTCTTTTCTGGTTTGTGTGCAAGATGAAACAATTGTATACAAACTTACCTGACAAACCTCACTTAACAGTAAGGAAACACTACTAGTACAGCCCTTTTCACTTACAGTGATTTTATACAGGGATATTATCTGATCAACAATATAACCATACTCACATCTGAGAACTTCTAGTAACAATTTATTCACTGCTAAAAAACACAATATAGCAAAGTCCATACACTGTTCATTGGTCTACCCTAAGAGGCCAGCTCACCACCTCAGTGCCTGATAAATTAGGAACACTTCTACTTTTCTACCTTTCAGACAAAATTAACTAAGTTACATTATTTATCAAAAAAAGACACTCATTTAGCCAGTCACCAGTGGCTCACTTCTGTAATCCTAGCTATTCAGGAGGCTGAGATCTAAGGATTACAGTTCAAAGCCAGCCGGGGCAGGAAAGTCCATGAGACTCTTATCTCCAATAAACTACTAGAAAACCAGAAGTGGAGCTGTGGCTCAAGTGGCAGAGCACTTGCCTTGAGCTGAAAAGCACAGGACAGTTCCCAGGCCCAGAGTTCAAGCCCCACAACCACTCCCCCACCCCAAAAAAAACAGACACTCATGTTATAGAGAAGGAATATGCACCAGGTGTCTTTTGTGGGAGAGCATACAGGAGCCTACCTAGAGGAAATACCCAAGGACAACTGGGTGGCACGCAAAAGACCTTGAGAGAATTTCTAATGTGTTTGTTCAGTGGGCCGAAGACAAACTAGCAAATTGTGGAGCCCTGAGCTTGGGATGAGTGACAAGAAGGATATGGGTTCTTTAAGTGGTTTCTCCGCCACTAGGGGCACTTTGGTTGCTTTCGCATGACAGGAGAGGTCATAACAGGAACGATCAGCACATCCCACAATCTCGATCCAGCCCTAAGAAGAAGCAGGGTGAATGAGAACATTTTAACAATCCCCATCCAGCCCTAGGAAGAAGCAAGGTATATGAGAACATTTGTAACAACCCCCATCCAGCCCTTAGAAGGAGCAGGTCTATGAAAACATGTCGTTCACAATGGCTTTGTTCACACAGGAATGCAGACTGTAACTGACTCTTTCAAACATTCAATTTAGATACAATACCTCCAATCTGATTTTCTGATTTTACAGATTTTGAAAATAAAAATAATTTCAGATGTTAGGCTCACCACCATAAAAGAATCTAACTCCCACTGTACACAGGTGGTCTTATTTATCTGATTGACATTGTCATATTTCAACTGTGGGGTAAACTAAACAAATTGTCTAAACTAACAGATTATATTAATTGTTTCCTAATCCCAACAGATTGTAGTGTTTTTATATCCCATAAAGTAAAACACATTAAGACCAACAGTATTGAGATTCATGTATATTATGTTGGCATGCATATGTGTGCAATTCATAGGTCTATGTAGCTACAAAACAAAAAACAACAGGGGCATATGACAGAGAATGTAGGCTACAAAACCCAAAAGATTCATTTCTTGGTCCTGAATGGAAACAATCCATGATACACATGGGGAAGAGGTGTACGGTTGGAAATGGCAGGTTTAGCCCTGTGGTATCTATGTGGCTAAAGAGCTTTCCAGGTACCTTGTCACAGAATCAGCTACCACCACAATGTCTCGTTCTAAGCTTTGTGCTCAGGCTCAGATTCAGGGGAAGGGCTGGGACTCAGAGGGAATATGACCTATAGACATTTGAATTTATTTATTTATTTAGGTTGGGGGGCTTGAACTCTGGGTCTGGGTGCTGTCCCTCAGCTCTTCTGCTCAAGGTTAGCACTCTACCACTTGAGCCACGACGCCACTTCCCGTTTTCTGGTGGTTTATTGGAGATAAGAGTTTCACAGACTTTCCTGACTGGGCTGACTTTGAACTGCGATCCTCAGATCTCAGCCTCCTGAGTAGCTAGGATTACAGGCATGAGCCACCAGTACCCCGCTAGACCACTGAATTTTTACTAAATAAGTGGAATGTGTTCAAGATCAAATCTACTAGTTTATCTCCTAAGTTAACAAAAAAATACTCTTGAAGCTGAGAGTACTGCAACTTCCTTGACTCAACCCTATGGCCATGTGCAATGAAGCTAAGAACACTAAAACTTCCTTGACTCAGCCCTATGGCTATGTGAAATGAAACGAAGAGCATTGAAACTTCCTTAACTCAGCCCTATGGCTGTGTGCACTGAAACTTCCTGGACTTAGTCCTACGGCATGTATACTGCTTGCCAGAAAGCTATCAGGAGCAGGCTGTCCCACCTGATCTCCACTCGGGATACTACCCCTTCATGGTAGCTCACACCTGTGCCACCTCATCCTTAAATGTTCTGTGTAAGGTACTCCTCGAATCCCACAGGTGTCTTCCTGTTACACAGAGCAGCCCTCTCCCTCACAAGAAAGCAAGGGTCAACTGCAGTTTCTGTTTTGTTCTAAAAGGTTATCTCCTGCCAAGTTTTATTGACTCACACCTGTAATCCTAGCTATTTAAGAGGTTGAGATCTAGCCGGGTGCTGGTGGCTCATGCCTGTAATCCTAGCTACTCAGGAGGCTGAGATCTGAGGATCGCGGTTCAAAGCCAGCCTGGGCAGGAGAGACCGTGAGACTCCTATCTCCAATAAACCACCAGAAAAAAACCGGAAGTGGCACTGTAGCTCAAGTCGTAGAGTGCTCGCCTTGAGCTGAAGAGCTGAGGGACAGGCCCAGAGTTCAAGCCCCACGACTGACAAAAAAAAAAAAAAAAGAGGTTGAGATCTGGGGCTAGGAAGGTGGCACAATGGTAGAATGCTTGCTTTGCATTCATGAGGCCTTGGGTTCGATTCCTCAGCTCCACAAAAGCCAAAAAAGCCAGAAGTGGTGCTGTGGCTCAAGTGGTAGAGCGCTAGCCTTGAGCTGAAGAACTGAAGGTTAGCGCCCAGGCCCAGAGTTCAGGCCCCACAACTGACAAAAAAAAAAAAAAAAGAAGTTAAGATCTGTAGTTCATGGTTCAAAGCCAGCCCAGGCAGGAAAGTCTGTGAGAGTCTGATCTCCAATTAACCACCAGAAAACTAGAAGTAGAGCTGTGGCTCAAAGTGGTAGAGTACAGTGCTAGCCTTGAGAAAAAGAGCTCAGGGACAGCACCTAGGCCCAGAGTTCAACCATACAACCAAAAAAGAAAAAAAAGGCCTTCTCCTATCTGATCTACTCTGGTATAAAGTTCCCACTGAGTAATTCTGATACCCACTTTCCCACCGCTGTGGAAACCACTCTCTACTCACATAGGAGGTTTTAGACTCTGCATCCCAGCAGTCACAGGCATAGTGGGCCATCTCGTTCTCCATATGCTGCCGGAAGCGGAGCTTATCTGGAGACACGCCAACCTTCGTGAGGTAGAGGTAGATGCGGCCAATGAAATAACCCAGCACTGAGTTGTTGATCACACCCTAAATCAAAAGCAGGAAAGTATGAAGCAAGGAAGAAAAAAAAAATCACATTAATACTTTTGAAGCCAAGTATCATTTTCTATTAACTTCTAAAACAAAACACTTGATATACCTGGTTAACTGTTTATTCTTGCTTACCCAGAATGTAATCTTGGTTATTTTTAAGAGTTGTTCATTCATATAAGTTAATAATGAAGTTCAAAATGTCCAACATACTCACCAGAATCAGCAAAACTTCAGCCTCAGACCACACTCCTTCTAATCCATAGCACAAGAATGATAGTCCTAACAACTCTAAAAATGGCAGACATTCCCTTCTGAGCAGATCAAACTGAAGGTACATGAAGGATTTTAATGGGTCTGTGTCCACTGAAATTCAGATACCCAAGACAGTAGATGTAATCTACAATTTTAGTACCAGACAGATCCAGAAGCCATCTAGCTTCCCTCCTTCCACTGCAGGGGTCTTCCTGGTGACAAAACTAAGTCTCACCGAGCCTCATACTGAAAACTTTCAGAGCCACAAGAAGGCTCACAGCTCCCTAAGGAACATCATCCTATCTCACTGTCAGCCACTGCTGCAGGGGGTCTTACCCACCCATTTCTCTAGGTGATTAAAAATTCTGCCATGTGCTAAGGGAAACACAACAGGGTTTAGAATCCAAAGGGCTTATTTTCCCCAAGTGGTAAATTTTGTTAAATGCAGAATCAAGTGTTTCGCTAAATTTTTTTTTCATGTTAGCTCAATGGCCCAGAAATGGGACATTCAGAATCTTTAACTTAAAAGTCTGCATAAAAATAAGAATTATAAATTCTGCATAAAAATAAATACTATAGGGACTGAGGTTGTAGTTCACTGATAGGACACTTGCCTAGCTTGCATAAAGCCTTAGGTTTGATCCTCAACAATGTAAAAACAAAACAAATGAAAATAAAAGCTAAAATGACTGGTAAAATATTTTGTCACCCACCACACAAAGAATTATACTAAGTGGTGCAAACTCTGAATTGCTATAATCTAAATTAAGTTACCTTCAGAATCTTACCTGTTCAACAGCATCTCCTAGGCGCATTTTCCGAGCAGACTGTCCGCTGACCTGGGCTTTTGCTGAATATAAATACAGGTAGAGGTCAGCTACATTCTGAAACTTGGGATGGTCTTTCTCATTGGGATCAACAAAGTGCTCAATCTCTGCCATTGTGAATTCTCTGAAAGCAAAAATTCAAAGGATAAAATCTGTTGTGTAAAATACAACCTAGGAGGCTCTCATTTTCAACCATGTCTATCCTGACTAACCATGCTGCCTATCCCTACCAAGCAATTAGCTTCCTAAGGAAATGATCAAGTGATTTTTGGACTAGATTTTTTTGGGACGAGGAAGAGGAGGAGAACATCTCAGGAGCTCACTATTTAAAATAATGGCAAACCTTTCTGAAATATTAACTCCTTCCATCTAGCCATATCCAAAAAGATTATTACTTGTAACTGAAAATAGTTTGTCTTTTGTGTGTGTGCTGGTCCTGGTGCTTAAACTCAGGGTCCAGTACCACTTGAGTCACAGCTCCACTGCCAGCTTTGTGGGAGGTTTTTTTAGTAGGGGGTGTTGGGAGATGCTTAACTGGAGATAAAAGTCTCACAGACCTTCCTCTCCCAGGCTGGCTTCAAACTGCAATCCTAAAATCAAGCCACCAGTGCTCAGCTTGAAAATAGTTTTAAAATGGCGAATAATATAGCATTTAATATTAAGAAAATACCAGTAGGTGTTGCACACACTAAATAGAGATGCTGAATAGTGACAGCCAAAGAAAATGGTTCTTCTCAAAATATGAGCAGAGCTTTTCATCACAATATGAATAAAATGAAGCAACAGATATTTACTTTTCACGGAATGGGACATTAAAAATTGATATGTCTTCTATACCACTTTGATCCTTTTTTCAATGAGATAAACAAGCGATTGATAATGGCACCATACAGCTGGCTTCTTTAGAGTAAGAGCTCTAATAAGGTGTTATTCAAGGCACAAACTGAACAAACCAGCCATCAGGCTCACTATGTAATGATGAAATAAATAGCACATAGCAATGGTTTCTCAAAGAGACTTCTTCAAATGGCAATTAGTAAATGTTGCAGGGCCAGGGCAAGTGTTTTAAATAAGCTTATGAATCAAAATCAAATCTCTAAAAAAAAAAAAAAGGCATGACTTTTGCTGTGTACTCTCATAACTATTTCAGAAGCAATGAAAAACTGCTGATAGGCAACCTAAAAACACTTGAAATGTATTGGAAAATAGTTTTCATTTTTAAATTTCATTTCCTAATGGCATCTCTTATTTGGTCCTACAGCATCTATTTCAACAGCTATCAAACATCTGTGCACACTGGGATGTGAAATGCATGAACAGTTTGTTCTCACTATAACTGGACTGACAAGAACTGAGCAGGCTGGATACAAAAAAGGCTCTCACAGGATCCCCAAAAAGTTTCTGTTTCCGTCATTAAATCTTAGCACAATGATGATAGTTACAATGCATCATATACTTGAATCTTAAGTATTCTTATCAACATAAAAATAAATTTTTAAAGGTAACTATATGAGTGATGGACATGTTAATTAGTCTACCTGTGGTAACCATTTCACAATGTATTAAAGCATCACCTTATTTACCTTGAAAAACAAAAAGGCTACACCCAGACTCTGGAAAAGAAAATACACATGGACCAGGAAGGTAGAACCAACCAATTGAAATAAAGTAAAACTTTAAAGAGCTTCGTATGAACCATGTAAACCTTCTAACTCAAACAAAAGGAATTACAGCTTTAGAAAGACTAGTTACCTGATACCTCTCATCAAGAAGAAACCACAGCACTAAACAAGCCAAGCCAATCGTAACTCCCATCAAGAGTCAACTCAACCCATGAAGAATGGCTAACCTGTTCTAGAACTTACAGAGATGCATTACAAAACCAGTCAAACTACAGACAGGACACAGATTAAAAAAAATATTAAAAAAATATTAAAAAAATGACCAATAAGCCAGAAAGCCCCAGGACCTCTCTACCAGTTAATTTCTGAGATCATTGCCCAGTTCTAAGCTGGTTTTTCTATTTCATAACCTTATATTCAGTCCTTTTAAAATCTTACCACTGCTAAGACTGCAATTCTTTTCCAAAACACTGGATTAAAACAAAGTTAGTGTTACCCAGCCCCTAAGAATTGGGAAAGCACATCTGTCAGATAAAAGAAAACAAAAGACAAAAACAAAAACAGAGGGGCTGGGAAGGTGGCTCAGCGGTAGGGTGCTTGCCTTGCATGCATAAGGCCCTGGGTTCGATTCCTCAATACCACATAAACAGAAAAAGCTGGAAGTGGCGCTGTGGCTCCAGTGGTAGAGCGCTAGCCTTGAACTGAAGAGCTGAGGAACAGTGCCCAGACCAAGTTCAGGCCCCATGACTGGAAAAAAAAAAAAAAAAAAACAGAAAAACCCAGACACAGGGAACTACAGATTCAACCCTGGCAAGTCTGTTGTTATTACACCAGGTTAAAGTTTCTGATTACTTCCTCCTACATGAAAGCCGAGAAGGGCTATTCTTATCCCTTTCTCTAAGGTGTGCACATCTTTTCTCCATAAACTTGAGAGACCACAGGCCCGAAAGTACTCCAGACCTCCCAAGATCAGGAAGGAGTCAAGGGGGTTGGGGGGGCAGGGGGGAGTCTGAGGAGCCTCTAGTGGGGGGGGGGGGAAGAGTGGATACTATGACTGAGTTCTCTCAAATTACAGCAAGAAAGGAAAGGAATAGGTGGATGCTGGAGCCAGGAGAAGATTTCTGGAGCCTAGAAAAGCTAACTGTGGCCATACAACCTATTTTTATAGCGAATATATCACTCAAAGAGCTGATTAAGAAAGAAAATGACAGAAATCACAAAAAAACTTCAGTCATAGTAAGTTTCTAAGTAAAACTACACAGTGCCAATATGTTACCCAAATACTCTGGACACCTCAGACTGAAGCAGACTTGAACAGAGACCAGCATGTGGCTGAGCTAGAGTAAATGAGAGAGCTTATGGCCCATGTCATAAAAGCTCCCACAAATCTGAAGGTTGTGTCCAGGAGACCTACTGGTTACTGAAACACACTCAGAAATGCTGTCTACCCTGGCACCTCCAATGAAAAGACCTCTTGTAATCCCCTCCCTCCCAATGCCACTGCCAGGGCTGCCTTACTTGTCACCTGCCACCCCATCTGCCACTGCCAGGGCTGCCTTGGTTGAGATGTCAAGATCTTGACATCCTCAAAACAAGTGACAGGCTTTAAGAAAAGACCATTAAGATCAGGTAAGAAGCTTGAGTCATGCCCCACCCTCCTTCCTTTTAAGTTCATGTTCCTCATGCCAAATTGCCAGTCAGGTCACATTTGGAGATTACAAGTGTAAAGCCTGCTTCCTGAAGAAGACCAGCCAGCCCACATTCGAGATGAAAGCAGAATATTTCAAAACAGCAAGCTTTCATCTCCAGTTCAGTCCAAGAGCAGTACCTGACTCGGATCAGTCCAGACCGAGGAGAGATTTCATTTCGAAAGGAATTTCCAATCTGGGCAGCAGCAAAAGGCAACTTCCCTTGGTTGAATTCCAAAAGTCGTTTGAAGTTCAGGAAAATTCCCTGTGCAGTTTCTGGTCTCAAATATCTATAAATTAAAGCAAAGCAGCCTGTTATAAAACAAAGAAATGATATTTTCTAACAAATCTGAAATTCTAGACTGAAGTGTGTGTGTGTGTGTGTGTGTGTGTGTGCGCGCGCACACACGTGTGTATGTGTGTTTGCCAGTCCTGAGGCTTGAACTCAGGGCCTAGACATTGTCCCTAAGCTTTTGTATTCAGGCTAGTACTCTGCCACTTGAGCCACAGCTCTCTTTCCAGCTTTTTTGGGGGAGGGGGGAGGGGATAGTTAGTTGGAGATAAGACTCTCATGGGCTTTCCTGCCTGTGCTGGCTTCAAACCATAATGCTCAGATCTCAGCCTTCTGAATAGTTTATTATGGGCATGAGCCACGAGCGCCCAGCCTAGATTGAAATCTTAAAAGTCTCAAATATTCGATGCATAAACCCTAAAGGTAAATTTCAGAAAGACATTCTACAAAAGTAAGTATTTACGTGGCACACATTAGAATGTGGGCCGAGAAACTGACAGGACACCACCATTTCATTACCGCAGGTCAATGTGTGTGGGAGCAGCCATTAACACACAGGCAAATGACAAGCTTAATTTCTTTAACAGAGGCCTAGCCCTCTTAACCACACAGTAAAACTATGAGGCCAATAAGTCAGTGTGGGCTAAGGGTTATAACAGGGTTCCCAAATCTCATCATCATCCCAAGCAAGGTGCAGGCTACATATACCTATACCTTCTAATATGATAGACAATTGGGTGCATGCCTAGTTAAATTTAAATTAACTAAAATAAAAATAATCTTAAAATTCAATTCCTCAGAAGTACTAATCTGATTTCAAGAGATCAATAGCCACATGTGGCTAGTGGCTATCATACTGAACAGATTGCAGAACCTTTCCATCATTAAAGAAAGTACCACTGATGTGAGCAGGGCTGGGCTATATTAAATATTTCTTTAGTGGTGCTACATTTGAACTCAGGGCTCTCTGCTTGCTTAGCAGGTACTTGGGTGAAGGCCACAGCCCTTTTGTTATTTTTCAAATAGGGTTTCATGTTTATGCCTAGACAGGTCTGGATTGCTATGACAGGCATGTACTACCCCACACAGAACTTACTGATTGAAACACAGTTCTGTCAAGCTTTTGCCAGGCTGGTACAATCCTCCCAGTCTCTACCTGCTGAATATGTAGGGCTATAAATGTGAGCCACCATGTCCAATCTAGATTAAATAACTTCTAAAGTATACTTCAGCAACAAACTCCATTAAAAAAAGACAATCATTTTTTGACTACACCTTCTTTTTTTTTTTTTCCTTTTTTTTTTGTTTTGTTTTGTTTTTTTGTTTTTGGGTCCGGTCGTGGGGCCTGAACTCTGGGCCTGGGCATTGTCCCTCAGCTCTTCAGCTCAAGGCTAGCGCTCTACCATGGAGCCACAGCGCCACTTCCGGCTTTTTTCTTTTTGCTTATGTGGTGCTGAGGAATCGAACCCAGGGCCTCAGGCATGCAAGGCAAGTGGTCTACCACTGAGCCACCTTCCCATCCCTTGACTGCCCCTTCTGTCCCATGCAACAATTATCAGAAGATACAATGATCACAAACTTGTGTTTTTGTTTTTTGGAAAAAATATACACTAAAAAAAGTGTATTCACAGCTGGGTGACAATGGCTCAAGCCAGTAATCCTAGCTACTCAGGAGACTGAGATCTGACGATTACGGTTCAAAACCAGCCCAGGTAGGAAAGTATAAGACTCTTATATCCAATTAACCACCAGAAAACTGGAAGTGGCACCATGGCTCAAATGGTAGTAGAACACTCATTTTGAGCTGAAGAGCTGAGGAACAGCACCTAGGCCCAGAGTTCAAGCCACACAACCAGTAAAAAAAAATTGTATTCACAAAGTATTTAAGAATGTCTGTCATGGGGCTGGGAAGGTGGCTCAGTGGTAGAGTGCTTGCCTTGCATGCCTGAGGCCCTGGGTTCAATTCCTCAGCACCACATAAGCAAAAAGAAAAAAGCCGGAAGTGGTGCTGTGGCTCAAGTGGTAGAGTACTAGCCTTGAGCTGAAGAGCTGAGGGACAGTGCCCAGACCCAGAGTTCAGGCTCCACGACCGGACCCAAAAAAAATAAAAAAGAATGTCTGTCATCATCTCTTTTTATATATTTACCTGCACTCCATGAATAAGCAATACCTACCCAGGCATGTTTCCTCCAGGCCCAATGAAGGTCTTGAACATTAAGTTAAAAGGTACTGGAGGAGAAAGATCATTTCCAGTAGTGGGAGATTTTACATTATAGTTCACAAAAAGATCCCCAAGTTCTTGTTGTCCATAGTTGTCGAGCTAAAGGACATGTCAAGAAAGTAATTAGTGTAAAAATGGAGAAAATAAAGCATTTATAGGATGTGAGGGCGATCTGGCTTCAACATCTGTCACCCCACTGATCGCCAGGGTTGATTTGGTTGATCTGGCTGGCTAGGCAAGTGTCCCCTTCCTCCCTCACTGCTCCATGTGTGTCCTTCCCAAAGCTGCATGCTCGGTTGAAGAAGACGACCATCCCCGATAAATTAGGACCAGTCTTCAGTCAAAGGTTCATGAGTAGCTACACTCCCCTGCTAGAACCTCCAAACAAGCTCTCAAGAAAGCATTTATACATACATACATATATATATATATATATATATATATATATGAAGAGAGAGAGATAATTCTAGTCACTGCTACAACTCACACAAAACTGAAGAACATTAGATGTGACCTAATCTTCAGAAAATTCATATTAAAACTATAGTCAGATAACACACATCCTATTTTCTTTTCATTCTTTTTTTTTTTCCTGGTCATGTGGCTTAAACTCTGGGCCTGGGTTGGTACTCTACCTCTTGAGCCACAGCACCACTTCCAGTTTTCTGAGTGGTTTATTGGAAATAAAGAGTTTCATGGACTTTCCTGCCCAGGCTGGCTTTGAACTTTGATGCTCAGATCTCAGCCTGCTGAGTGGCTAGGATTATAGACGAGAGCCACCAACGCCCAGCTACTTCTTTTTTTCTAAGAAATTAAACACATTTATAGGTCTGACTTGAAATTCATATACCCACCATTCCACAATGACAAATATAGCAAAATACATCTTGTTCAGTTATAATTATAGATTGGCAAGAATCTGATTGGCAAGGTTGAATTTTATGACTCTGAACAACTCTAATCCTATCTATTAACTTAACTATATACAACTTTCTTTCCTCCAGATATTAAGCTGTGTCCTAGTCATCTGTGCATCTTCCAATGGTCTGTCATTGTGCAAACTGATACTCAAAGCCAAACTCTGTAAAATGATGAATAAATTCCTACTTAAGAATTCCAAATAACTGTGGGCTGGGAAGGTGGATCAGTGGTAGAGTGCTTGCCTTGCATGCATGAGGCCCTGGGTTCAATTCCTCAGCACCACATAAGCAGAAAAAGCTACAAGTGGTGCTGTGGATCAAGTAGTAGAGTGCTAGCCTTGAGCTGAAGAGCTGAGGGACAGCATCCAGGCCCCCAGTTCAAGCCCCATGACTGACAAAAAAAAAAAAAGAATTCCAAATAACTATGACAAATAACCTAATAGTAAAGAAAGAATACAATTCATCACCACATAAAACTGAGGCTCCAGGGTCAAAAAGAGCTGGTACACCTCCAATGCTACCAATTATGGGCTAATTAAACATTAATTTAATATGTAACTTTCCTGATTCTGTATTATGTAAAACAAAGAGAATACAACCTACCCCACTAAAGAGGGCTACTGTAAAGATTAAGATATGAAGAAAATGCATAGCACCTATTCAGTAAAGGGAGATGATTAGAATTTATATTTGCCACCTTCATAGAAGCAATGGAAATTTCATTCCACCAAAAGCCAACTTACACTAGCCACCATGTGATCAGAATGAACAATTATACAATGAAGCCTTCTAGATTCTGTTTCTATAAAATGTCCAGAGGAATTTCACAAAATGCCATATTACACGCAATTAGACACAGGCTGGACCAGTTTCACTGACCTTCAAGACAACATCAGCCAGTGCTTGTCATCCTAGCTATTTGAAAGGTTGATATCAGGAGGGCAGCCTTCACAGGCAAGTTCAATAGCCCCCACCTTAATAGAAGAACCTAGGTGCAGTGACATGTGCCTTGTAAATGTTCTACCACTGAGTTACGTTCTCAGCTTCCTCATGATATTCTTAGGTTGTGACACACAGGATTTAGATCATACAGGGGGCTGGGAAGGTGGCTCAGTGGTAGAGTGCTTGCCTCACATGCATGAGGCCCTGGGTTTGATTCCTCAACATCACATGAGCAGAAAAAGCCAGAAGTGGCTCTGTGGCTCAACTTGTAGAACATGTCATATATGACATGTTCTTGTACTTGGTAAAAGGTCAGAAATAACTACATTTCTATCAGCTTTTGTCATCCCTTAATTTGGCAAATAAGTTACAAAACTTAAGTTCTGAAGATAAACGGGAAAAGCAGCAGTCAGAGACAGCCCAACCCAGCTAAGTGGTTGGTCAAAGAGCACCCAGTCATCCACCCAGTCTGCAACCAACACCAAACATGGGCCTCACAGCCACTCAAATCTCACAGCAGAGACTGTAAGTTTATTACCCATTTACAGTGACTTCTCAGTTCTGACTGAAATAAAGACTTAACCACAGAAGATGGGGAAGAAACTGAAAAGCAAAAAGAGATGTTGTGAGGGACAGGTAGATTCTGCTTCTTTACAACTTTGGCCATGGTCGGCAAATCCTAGAGACCTTTCCTGTCACTCTGAGAGTGTCTACAGTTCTCACCTGGGCCAAGACACTTTCCATCTCTGACTTCTTCTCAGCAGAACACTTCTTGTCAGACATCAGTTTCTGTAAATGAGCTACAACAACAGTGTTCACACAAATTAATTTCAATGATGAAAAAAAGTGCCAATTCACAACAATTAAAAACAAATCTAAGGTCACTGTTCTTAATTTATATAAATCCGTATTTCATGTTATTGAGACAACCATGATACTATCTTGACTAATTATAAAATATGCTCATAAGCAATCTAAATATAACTTTTGTAAATAAGGGACTGTCCACTTAATAAAATTAAAGTGTGTACATTATGCCCAAATAAAGAAATTTAAGCCGGACGCCAGTGGCTCATGCCTGTATTCCTAGCTACTCAGGAGGCTGAGATCTGAGGATCATGGTTCAAAGCCAGCCCCGGCAGGAGAGCCCAGGAGACTCTTATCTCCAATAAACCACTAGAAAACCAGAAGTGGCGCTGTGGCTCAAGCGGTAGAGCACTTGCCTTGAGCTGAAGAGCTGAGGGACAGAGCCCTAGCCCAGAGTTCAAGCCCCATGGCCAACAACAAAAAAAAAAAAAAAAAAGAAAGAAATTTAATGGGGAAATCTGAGGTAAATATTTAGTCTAAGCTCTGTATTTGAGTACAAGGGAGATGCAGAACCGTGCCTTTCAGCAGATGGTCAGCCCGGAAACACTCGCCACTCTTCACATCTTTCACCATGAAGTCAGCAAATTTGTCCACATGGCCAGAGGTCCTAAGTAACAAATGCCAAGTCAATATGTCATTCTCATAAAAACTGATGCATTCATAGATACTAACTTATTAAACAGTCACCCTACAATATGCTTATTTGTAATTTACATTGACAGAACTCAAAGACAAGAAATTTGCATGTCTATAATGGGAGTCTATATGTTTCCCATGTCTGTAATCCATGATAGACAGTAATATGTACCAGAGAAAATTCTTCCCATCTATCTGATTCTCTCGCAAACACTTCCTAGGCTACACTTTTTTACAAATTATATAAAATTTCAGCCTATGGAATATTCTTGAAAGGACACTATATCCTAAGATCACAAAGCAAATCTCTGCAAGTTAAAAAAAACTTTCTACAGTTTAGGATTAAGTAATTCATGTCTATTCTATTATCATTAGTGATTTAAACAAAGGCCAAAATCATCAGGAATCTGATGAGCAAAGAAGCTATAATGTTGAAGTTATATTGACATTAGTATTATCTGCACATAATTCCTATTAGTAGAACAAGCAGCTAAAAGATAAGGTAGAAAGAAATTACTCTCATCACAACGAAAATGATGAAGGAGCCTAAATAATGATAGTAATAAATACAAATTACCTGTGTACCAGGCAACAGTAACTGATAATTCCTCATCACAGTTGAAGTTTTACCCTACTTTCAATAATGTGGTAGGATTAATCTTATATTTCTGCATTGAAGTTTCAAAATAAATAGTAAAGTATTTGCTCAAAAATACATATACATCTTACCTTCTCAGAACTTAATACTAAGGAAATAATGAGCAATAAGCCTTTTAGGATATCAGATTACAGTAAAAATTCAGCAACACTGTAAAAACCTTTGTAATGGCAGTAAGTAAACTATGATGCATTCACAAAACAGGATACTATGCTGGCATCAAAAATGCTTTAGAAGGATACTTAATGACACCAGTAAATATTCACATACATTAGATGAAAGAAAGCAACATGCACTAATATTCTCTTATTCAGAAATGGAGAGAAAAAGTGAAAAGACAAATCAGATACAAATGCTGTAAGCAGTAGAAATGAATTTCTTACAGTATCTGTGAGCAACAGGAATGTATTTATTTTGTTTTTATGTATTTTCCAGGTTTTCTAAGTGAACATGGGCAGGTACTTGACTCTGCACATTGATAGGAGCGGGTCTTACTTAAGGACAGGCTCCGGAGTGAGCATGGTACAGTCAATCTCCAGGATCTGCTCCTCCTGGATAAAGTGCTGCCTCCACGTCTGAATAATGTTGTTCTTCAAGGCACATCCAACTGGTCCAAAGTCATACAACCCACTAACACCTGGGAAGTGTAAGAAACAGTATTCTTTACTTGTTACTCTGAATACTAGGCAAGAAGATAGGTGACATTGATGCCTGAGATCCCACATACCTCCCCAGAAAGGTTTTTAAGTCAATAATTTAAACCCCTACTGAAGAGCCTTACTTTGAAAAGGTCTCACTTCACTTTCTACTTCCTTACTTATAATTTCAACTGAGATTTAACAATGAAGTTGTCCCAGATACAGAAAATAGAAAGAAAAAGCAGACTATAGTGTTATGCCATGGAAAGCAATCTACCACTGAAGTTGATCTAAAATTTTAGCCTCCAATTTCTTAATATATTCCTGGGTATCTCGGCTATTATAGAAACCTCAAGAAGTTAAAACATTTAGAGGTCTGTTTTGTCAAAACCAAATTAAGTTTCAGTGACAAAGTACTAAAGGTTTAATACTGTCATAATGATCTCTGTTGGCTATGAAATACAGATATAATTTAGTCAGTTATATTCACTTTGTTACCCTCACACAGCAAATACCTGGGTTCAATTACCAATAATGCACTGAAAAAAAACTAAAGTATAGGATGGAAAGGACAGATATTACGCCAAATAGCAACTTTATGACTATTTGTATTCTGGCAAGTCATGTCCTTTTTTTTTAGGAACTGAAGACCAAACTCAGTGCCTTGTACTTGCTAAGCAAGCACTCCTCCACTGAGCTAAATTCCCAACCCAAGCCATGTTTTTGATCTAAGAATTGATATCATTAAAGACACCAACAGCACAGTATTCTTTTGTTAATCCTATACCTCCATAAATAGCAAAAGCTTGATCATAGAAAAACCTCCTCTTCAAGGTGTCTTCCATTTTTGTTCTGTCTATAATGTCATCTTTGGGCTGTAATGCCAGCTCCTATAAGAGAAGAAACAAGATAAAAAGTGTGACTGGAGAAGTAGATGGAAGTCTTGAGCTTAAGGTATCAGACTGTAGTTGATTCCTTTGAAGAATTAGATATAAAATCTATCAAACAGAAAAGATTTTGAAAAGTTAAAAAAAAAAAAAGGTGGAGGCATTATTCTGTCTTTGTCTTTGTGTCCTTCCTGTCCCTTTGAGGAAAAGATACTGTAAGAAACTCATGTGTTGAAGGCTTAATACCAGCTGAAGGCACTATTGGGAGGTGGTAGAACCTTCAAGCAGAAATCCTTACAGAGGCTATTGGGACTTTAGTTCCTCGTCTGTTTCCTGGTGCCATGAGGTGAAAGTATAGCCTACATCATACACTATCATGATGCTCTACTTCACCACAGTCCTAAAAACCAAACCAGTGGACTATGAACCAAAACTTCTCAAACTGTGAACCTAAAGAAACTTTTCCTCCTTCAAGTTGATTCTTCTCAGCTATTTTATCACAGCATCAAAAGCTGAATAACAAATACCTTTAGGAAAAAAATATAACCATTTCTAGTATTACAGGACTAAGTTAGAAGCTGGGCTTGGTGGTACATGTCTATAATCCTCACACTCAAGAGGCTGAGGCAGAAAATTGCATGTTTGAGGCCAACTCAGACAACATAAAAAGACTGTGTCTTTAAAAACAAATAAAAAGGCTAAGCTTATTTAAATACAGATACTGATAATATATCTGAATTTTTACTAGATCACTACAGTGAATTTATCACTTAGAACTTCAAATGAATGCTTAGCATGGTGGTGTACATTTGTAGTCATACTGCTTAGGAGGCCAATGCAGGAAGATCTCAAGTTCTAGGCCAACCTGGGCTATCTAGTAAAATCTTGTCTCAAAAATAAGCAAATGAAGCTGGGCTCTAGTGGCTCATGCCTGTATTCCTAGATACTCAAGATGCTAATATATGAGGATCACAATTCAAAGCCAGCCTGAGTAGGAAAGTCCATGAGACTCTTATCTCCATTTAACCAACAGAAAACTGGAAGTGGCGCTGTGACTCAAATGGTATTGCTCGCCTTAAGCTAAAGGGCTCAGGGACAGTGCCTAGGACCAGAGTTCAAGCCCTATGGTAGAGTGCCAGCCTCAAGCAAAAAGACTCAAAAGTAGCATCCATGTCTTGATCTAGCCCCAGGATTAGCACAAAAACAAATAAAACAAAAATTTATTTACTTATTTATTTTGGTTGGTTGTGGGGCCTGAACTCTGGGCCTGGGCACTGTCCCTCAGCTCTTCAACTCAAGGCTAGTGCTCTACCACTTGAGCCACAGTGCCACTTTCAGCCTTTTCTACTTATGTGCTGCTGAGGAATCGAACCTGAGGAATCGAACCCAGGGCCTATGCATGCAAGGCAAGCACTCCACCATTGAGCCACCTTCCCAGCCCCCAAAAATTTATTAAGTAGTTGTACCAAGAGGTTACAATTCCATAAGTTAGGTTATGAGTACAATGCATCTTGTTCAATGTCACCCCTTCAGTTGTTCTCCCCATTTCCCTCTCCTATCCCTACCTCATGTAGTTCCATTTTTTACATAATACACATTGAATATAGAAACTTCTTGCTCACCTTCCTCCCTCATTTATGTATTCTCCTTGCCCTCCCCCATTAATGTTTCCACTTCCTGGTGTTCTTTTTTTAATTTTTAACTCAGGGTCTAGGTGCTATCCCTAAGGTCTTTTGCTCCAGGTTAGTGCTCTACCAATTTGAGGTACAGCTCCACTTCCAGATTTCTGGTGGTTAATTGAAGATAAGAGTATCATGGCCTTTCCTACCTGTTCTGGCTTTGAACCTCAACCCTCAGATCTCAGCCTCCTGAGTAGCTAGGAGGTGAGCCACCAGTGCCCAGCTCTGGTATTCATTATGTTAAAACAGTGTATTAGTTGTTTTTACCCTTGGATCCTCCCATAAGTATACCATCCTTTAGTTAGTTTGTGTGTAAATGCACTGAGCCCTGTATACATGATCAAAATTAGATCTAACTTCCACATGAGAGAAAAACATGTGTATTTTGTCTCTCTGAGCCTGACTTTACTTAACATAATTATTTCTGGGTCATCTATTTCCCTGTAAAGAAAATATTCTTTATAATGGATAAAATTCCATTGTGTGTGTGTGTGTGTATACCACCTTTTTTTTTTTTTTTAGCTATTTTCTATTGTAAGCATCAGGACTGTTGTGAATAATGCAGCAATGAACATGGATCTGCAAATGTCTTTACAGTATCCTGACTTGTAATTGCCCTGGGTAGAGGTCTAAGAGTCATCTGGCTGGATCAGAGGGTAGATCTATGTTTAGTTTTTTGAGGAACCTCCAAACCACTTTCTAAGGCGGTTGTACTAGTTTGCATTCCCACCAATAGTGTAATAGAGTTCCTTTTTACATTCCCATCAATAGTGCAATAGGGTTCTTTTTCCCTACATCCCCTCCAGCATTTCTTATCATTTGTATTCTTACAGTTGGCCAATCCTACTGGGGTGAGATGGAATCGCAATATGGTTTGCTTTGCATTTCCTTTATGACAAACCAGGGGTGTTAAGCATCTCTTCATGTGTTTATTGGCCAATCTGACTTCTTCTGAGATGTCTCCATTTAGCTCCTCTGCCCATTTATTAATTGAGTTAATTGGGGGTCAGGTAGTTTCTTGAGCTCTTTGTATATTCTGGGTATTAGGCTCTTGTCAGATGTATAGGTTAGTAAAGATCTTCTAATCTGTAAACTGTGTTTTTATCTTAGGAATAATTATGTCCTTAGTTTGATATAATCCCATTTGTTAATTCTCTCTCCTACTTCCTGAACCCCTGGAACTCTCTTCGCCACCAGGCGCTGCCAGTGGCTCATGCCTATAATCCTACCTATAGGAGACTGAGACCTGAGCATCACAGTTCAAAGCCAGCCTGGGCAGAAAAGTTCGTGAGATTCTTATTTCCAATAAACTACTCAGAAAAAGCTGGTGGCTGCACTGTGGCTCAAGTGGTAGATTGTTAGCCTTAACATAAAGAGGCCAGAGATAGTACCTAGGCCTTGAATTCAAGCTCTATGACCAGCAAAAAAAAAAACAAAAAAACACAAAGTTCCTGCGTAGGCCACCAAGTTCTAATGTTTCTCCTATTCCTTCTTGTAGTAGTTTCAAGATCTCAGGTGTGATGAAGTCTTTATTCCATAAAATATTTTTTATAAAGAAAAAAAAATACTCAAACATAATTCTAAACTTCAAACTGGAGGCTTAGTGTTTAAATAGGTCTAGGGACAGCTATCAGATAGACAAAAGTGAAACCATTATTTCCAGGCATAAAAAAATTCATAAAGCAGGCACATGCTTTCCAGAAACCACATGCAGCATGCAACATCTAGGATTTGGAGGAGGTATTTCAGGTACCAAGTAATCAGGTTGTACTTTGAAAGGCTGAGGCATCTTCCAGGGAAAGAGAAGGCAAACAAATCAAGTAATATGTGTTCAGAACTTTTCTAGGTCTCTCTCACCAACAACCAACCCCGGATTGCTCCGAATTTAACACCCCAAGACTCACCTTCGCTTCCAGAACCCGCTTTCGGGCTTTGAGCTCAGCCACTGCTTTGTCTACATCCACTTGAGGTGCTTTGTCTTCTTTCAGCTTCCGTACAAGATCTCCCTAGTCAGCAAACAGAATTTATACTCAGGACTGGTTTTAGAAGGCAAAAAATAAGAGGAATGTATTTTAAGACTTTTAGAAAGGATTTTTTTAATAATGCAATTGGCCATTTTATTACGTGATCAGCCCTTACTAATAACTGAGAATCTCTGCCCTTGGCACTGGAATGTTCAGGATGTTCAGACAAGTTAACAAATGAACACAAATAACTACTACACATGGTAATAGTGAAAAGTAGTGGGAGTGGAGGTAGTCTGAAAAAGAACTCTACAGAGTCACTGAAACTAAAAACTCATGAAGTAAGTTAAACAGCATATTAGACGTAGCTTAGAAATCAGTGACCTAGGGCTGGGAAGGTGGCTCAGTGGTAGAGCGCTTGCCTTGCATGCTCAAGGCCCTGGGTTCGATTCCTCAGCACCACATAAGCAGAAAAAGCTACAA